TATTTGGATCCTGTTACAAAACATAATGTAAAAAATAAGAATTGGAAATCTGAACACTAGATGTATATCAATGAGCAATGAGAAAAGGATAATCTTTTCAATAACCAGTGCTAAGTTAGATAGGCATATGGGGGAAAAAATGAAAATGGATTTCTATCTAATATTATACACAAAAATCATTTTCAGGTAGATTGTAGATCTAAAGGTGAAAGCCAAAACTATAAAGCTTTTGGAAGATAACATACAAGAAAATCTTCATGATCTTGAAGTAGGGAATGAGTGTGTAAATAGGAAACAAAAGCTGCTAGCCAGCGGAAAGTCTTAATTGGACTACAAGACTACAATCTTAAATGAAGTGTGAAACAATAAGCCACAGAATGGGATACATGCAACACAGAACAAAGAACTAGTATGCTAAACATACAAAGAACTGAAATCATTAAGAAAAAGCAGTAGAAAAATGAGCAAAAGACTGGAACAGGCACATTGTAAGTTACTCAACCTCATTTAAACTTAAGAACAAGCAAACCAACAACACACTGAGATATTATACACCAACTACTTTGTGAAAATTCCACTGACAACATCAAATGTAGGTGAAAATTTGGAATACTACCATGAAAATTCCTATGCTTTAGTACATCATTCCAAACTGTTTTTCTAGCAATGGCAAACTCTTTTCCTATGGCAATATAAGTTGGTACAATCACTTTAGAAAACAGTTTGCCATTATTCTACTGAAGCGGAAAATATGCATATCCTAAAACCCACCAATTCCACTTCGATACATACAATAGCATGAATATAAAGTAAAAGCAACAGACAAAAAATACATACAGCCCCATTTTATTTATATAAAGTTGAAAAGGGGCTTCCCTGGTGGCGCAGCGGTTGAGAGTCCGCCTGCCGATGCAGGGGACACAGGTTCATGCCCCGGTCTGGGAGGATCCCACATGCCACGGAGCAGCTGGGCCTGTGGGCCATGGCTGCTGAGCCTGCGCGTCCGGAGCCTGTGCTCCACAAAGGGAAAGGCCACAACAGTGAGAGGCCCGCATACCGCAAAAAAAAAAAAAAAAAAAGTTGAAAAAAGGGAAAAACTAAACTGTATCATTTAAAAATGCATAAATAGGTGAGAAAACTAAAGTAAGTCAAAAGGATTACTATAAAAATAAATTTTGTGATTACTTTCAGGGGGAAGGAGTAGGTTATGATTGGGAAGAGGTACATTAGAAGGCTGCTGAGTGTCTCGAAATGATCTTTCTTCAATTGAATTGTGGTTAAGCAAAGGTTGACTTTACAAATGCTTGTTAAGCTGTACATATTTTATGTATTTATATTTATCTCCACAATCACACACACTGCACACACCAAACTACACACACACACACACACACACACACACACACACCATAATGGATCTTTTCATCAAAGTTTTAGCTGCTATAAATTCTTCTCCCCACATTTCCACACTCTGCAAATTTTCATTCATAAGCAGCTATTACTTTTCATAATGGGAGTAAGTACCTTCTCCCAATAGCATAATGAACACTGCTGAAAAATTATGGCAGCTAATGTTTATTGATTACCTTTTTATGCAACACAGTATACTACACTCTTCATATACATTAACACATTTAAGATAAAAAACAACTCTAAAAGGTAGCTATGATCAGCCTCTTTATGGAGGTAATTGCCAGTGTTCACATAATTATAAATGTCCGAGTTAGTCAATCTGAACTGAACTTTTCCCACCATTCTACACAAAGTCCAATAGTTGATAGTTTACTAACCCTTCATTCACCTTCCCCTTACAATATTCTGTGGCATTTTCCTCATCTGATATTTAACTACTTCATTCATTTATTCAACATTCATTCATTTATTCAACACATTTATTTAGTATCTACTATATTCCAGGTACTGCTCTATATACAGGATATACAGGGGTGAAAAGCAATGACAAAGTCCAAGCTTATATTTTAGTGGGGCAGGCAGACAATAAACAAAAATTTCAGATAGTGATCAGTTCTGTGAAGAAAATAGAATAATGTGATAGTGATTAGGGGGTAGCAGAAACATTTGGGCTGAGATTTGAGTGCTAAATCAGCTATGCAAACTACTGGAAGGGGTTCCAGGCTGGGGACGCTATAAATATCAAAGTCCTGAAAGGGAAATGAGCCTTGGCATATTCAGTGAAGAGAAAGAAGGCTGTTCTGCCTGCAGTACAGTGAGCAAAGAACACAGAGAGTGAACCATGCAAGGTCAGGTCAGCCAGAGCAAGGAACTTAGATTTCATCTTGATGCTGTGGGAAGACATTGGAAGCTTTTAAGGGAGTGTCACAGAACAATTTACCTCTAAAAGAAAAAAAAATAACTTAGGACCTATGTAAAGCAAAGACTGTTGGGGTACGGGGTGAGGGAGTACAGGTGGGAAATGACAAGAGTGGAAGTGGGAAGATATTCGTTTTTATTAAGAAACCCAGGGAGGAGATGAAGGAGCTTGAACTAGAGGGGTAGCAATAAAAATGGAGAGAAGTGTTCAGCTTCCAGACATATTTTGAGGGTAGAGCAAATAAACTGAATGTCTATTTCTTTGTTAAGTATTTATTGCATGCTATAATGTACAGGCACTGTTCTAGGTGCTGGGGATGCAGAACTGAATAAGACAAATAGGGTCCCGACCTCAAGGAGCTTATATAGTACATATTCCAATGGGAGAAATAGACATTTAATAGATAAATAAAAATACCCCATAATGTCAGATAATAAATGCTATGATGAAAAATAAAGGAGTGTGGCAGAGGTGGGGTAATATATTAGGTAAGTCAGGAAAAAGACTTTGCATAGGAGGTGACACTTAAGCAAAGACTTAAAAGTGAAGCACAGGCCACACAAATACTTTGGTAAGTACTCCTGGCAGAGGGAAGAGCAAACGAAACGATCACCACAACGATCTTGAGGTGAGAATGTACCTATGTTGTGAGCAGAAGAGCAAAGCCAAGGTGGCTAGAGTGGGATGAGCAAGTAAAAGTGGCAGATGAGGCCAAAGAGAACATATCCCATAAAGCCACGTAGGTCGTAGAGAATATTTTGAATTTTATTTGAAGTGTGACAAAAAGCTATGAGAGTTGAGAGCAGGAAGGGATACTTGATTCACATTTTAGAAGGACCAGTCTGACTGCATTTCTGAACTACTGAAGGACAAGCAATATGAAAAGAGAGATAACGATGGCTTTGATTAGAATGGTACTATTAGAGGTATTACATTTGCTGAATTAAATAGGAGTTGCTGAATTGAATACAATATATGAAAACCGTGTCGAGGATGATTTCTAGAGTTTTGGCTTAAGAAAACTAGGGAGTGAATATAACGTTTACTGAGATGGGGGAAGCTAGGGAGGAATAGGTTGGAGGACAGGGATCAAAAGTTGTTTTTGTTCATGAGATGACTATTAGTCAAGGGGAAATTTCAGGTAGGCTGCGGCTATAAAAGTCTGGAGCTCAGGGGATAGGTCAGAGACAACTTTGTTTTTGAGTTACTAATGGCTAGCTGACAATTCTCAGGAACAAAATTTCTTTCATATTTGAGAATGTACTGGCTCAATTCTTAGGAGCCACCTATAAGTTCAATCGTATTCCTCCTATGGGTATACTGCAGTAATACCATTTACCAGGATATACTATATATGATAAACTCTATAAAATTTCATGTCCTTGGCTTCCTTTTTTTTTTTTGCCACATCACACGGCATGTGGGATCCTAGTTCCCTGACCAGGGATCAAACCCGTGTCCCCTGCAGTGGAAGTGTGGAGTCCTAACCACTGGACCACCAGGGAATTCCCTTTCTTGGCTTCAGACTAAGATAATTGATTAAGTTTTATAAATTACCAAGAAAAGAGAATACTGGGTCCCAATCTAACATTCAAAAATTAATATAAATTTCATTGAAAGAACAAGGTCTTACTAAAACTAATAGGTAAAAAAAAGCCAGGAATCAGATCTATGTCCATTATAGCTTCCTTACATCCCCTGCGCCTTCTTTCATGCCTTATCACCTAGAAGCTTAGTCACCAATAAGTTCACAGAGTTAGCTATTCATTTTCAAAATAGAATTTATTTCTGTAATAAAGAATTAAAATATAGCTGTGAAAGTAGAAAATAATATAGAAAAATATTTAAAATGTGCAACAGTAATTTTGAGTATAGGTAGTTAAGCACTAGAGGTTATGCTCAACTTCTACTTGAAAGACCAATCATATATATTATTACCTACACCAGAAAAAACATACCTACTTGCAATTTTAATTAATAATTATAATTCAAAAACAGGTTTACACACCTGGTCAGGCCCTTTTAAAAATATAAGTATAAATCTTGGGGATATATTTTTTGAAGCTGGCTTCACTTCACAGACAGATAAATCTACTGTCCCAAAATCACAAGGTTGTTTTTACTAATTCATCCATGTAATCAAGCCAAAGTGGAGGAAATATGTACTTTTTGGATGAAACCTAATGTTTTGGTAAAAATGGAACAAGAGTATCATTTTTCATTATGTTGGTATAAAAGCTGGTAAGCTCATGTATCCCCAGAGCTTGGTTTCCACCAGGTGGGTCTCAAATTCAGACACTAAATGCAGATGAAGAAATATCTAGTGAATTCTATCTATCCCTTCCCCAAAGTTTTACTTACAATTAAGATATAGGTATTATTTGTATGAAGAACATACAAAAAGAATTGGAAACTGTTTGGCTAGAGGGAAGACAACTCTTCAGGGACTACTGTTTGCAGTTTGCAGCACAGGATAATCTTCTCTAGGAAGAATAATGTCCACATAGCAGCACTATATTCACCAGGAATCCCAGAGCCAGTGGATCTATCATGTAGCAGGAAGCCAAACCTTCTGGCTGCTCACAACATCACTCAGCTTCCCTTTAATCTTCAGGAAGTGTCTCTTGAATTCCAGTCCATCACCCTATATTAGGAATAATATCCAAAACTAATGTCAAAAAAACAAGAAAAAGAGACTATGCCATAAAATCAAACTTTCTTTAGGGGTAAGTAGAGACAAACATCCATGGATATGTTCAGATACAGTTATCTTCCAGTCCTCTTATGAATACAAAATATCTTGGTAGAAGAAATGGCTACCTAAATAATTCTGACTTGACTTTGGGCCCATCACTGCTCCCACCACCCTGGGCCCAGAGAGCAGAAACAATGGCATCCTGTCCATTTCAAGGGTTGGTATCTCTGTACCTATGTCATTGTTTTTCATAGGTGTTTATAAACTAAAAATAAGCTACATAACTATGCTTTAAGTCCTGCCACAACAGAGCCAGTGATTCAGTTATGAGAAGGGTTTCTCTACACTAGGATCTTAATTTAATTCCATACCAAGCATCTGGACAATAGCACTGCAGCAAATCTCCAACGTAAAGAATGTGACCAACTCCTCCAACCTCATTTAGAGCCACATACAATCTTTCGGTAAACAGAGAATATGCTCTTTTGGTCTTATATGTCAAGGGCTTTAAAACTGTAACCTCAGAACCAATAATTTCTAAAGAAAGAATCAGAAATGTGAACAAAACTCCATGTATATGAGTATTAATCATAGAGTAGCTTGTAACAAACAGATAAAGGTTCATTAATTATAATGTACAAACATTTGGACAAATCATAATTTTTATGAAAAAATATTAAATACAAATTCAATAAGAAAAAGCTTAGAATGCTACAAAATATTAAGGGTAATTATTTTAAGGACAAAAATAATTTAGGACTATTTTTATTTTTTTATTTGTTATTTATTTACACATTCTACAAAAAACAAAAACTTTTATAATAAGGAAAAAGTCATTTGAAAAAACTGTTTTAGAATAGCTAATGACAAGAACAAATGTTCATAATATTAAATTTAAAAAACCAGTTACCATATATTTATAAATATAATGCCATTAAAAAAAAATCTACACATAAGAGTAATTCCATAGAGGATATATTATAAGTAATAGTAAGGTTACTGTAATATAATATCAAAAATAAATCTGTATTCTCTTTGGATGACAAAATTAAAGTTGATTCTTATCTTCTTTATACTTTTTTGTGTTTTTAAAATTTCTAAAATGAACATGTAATACTTATTTAAAAGTAGCAAAACAAAGTTTTTTCTTTTAAAAAGTGTTCTATTCTACATACCTTAGAAAGCCGGAAGTCGACCAAGATCTTCTCATCCATTTCTACCAAATTCACTTTGAAAATGAGTTTATTGTTTCTTCTATCAGTTGTTGATACAGTAACCTAAGACAATGAAAATAAGGTCAAACCAGATGTGTGGGCAGAAAATACTCTAAATAAAAACTATAATCTTAGTTCAGTGATACTACTGGGATAAAAATTTGAGAGACGCTTTTATAACAGGAGCTGTGCCAGCTGAAAATCCCACTCCTTCTAGGACTTTCCTCTCCCAATGGGTATGTGTGTGTCCAACCAGACCGACCTGTAAACAGGACGCAGCTCCGTTATCGGGGATTGAGTCTATGTGAACTCTTAGCAACAAAATAAATTTAGTATTTTACCAAGATACAACCAAAAGAGGAAACAATTGAAGAGAATAAAAACGAGGGACTTCCCTGGTGGTCCAGTGGTTAAAACTCCATGCTTCTAATGCAGGGGGTGTGGGTTTGTTCCCTGGTCGGGGAACTAAGATCCCATGTGCCATGCAGCATGGCCAAAAAATGAAAAAAAAAAGAAAGAGAGAGAGAGAGAGAGAGGATAAAAGCAGACTGAGAGGAAAAACAAGATTATTAAAACATAAAGAAAAAGAGAGGCCAGATTTGTGGGTAAAAAGCTATAGTGGCAATCAGAAGATGGTGAAGGTCTTAAGAGGCCTTTCAACTTCCACTTTCAGTGTTTTAGAAGCTCAGGCTAGAAGAGTGACATGGAAAGAAAGGCCAGGCCAACAGCCAGCACCAAGACCCCAAATGTGGATGAGGCTGGCCTGGACCAAAGAAAAGCCGTCAACTCCAGCTGGATGAATGAGCCCAAGCAAGATCAGCAGGTTTGCCTAGTTGAGCCCAGCGCAAATTACAACAACATTTTTAATAATTCTCACCTCAAGAAATGACTATTAAAGAAACACAGGTGTACCACAACGGTGCAACACTGGAACAACATTATGTTCTGGGAAAACACAAGACACTCAGCACATCTGAAGTAGGTTATTAAACTTCAAAGACAAAGAAAATTTTCCAAAGATTCAGGCAGAAAGAATTAATTGAGGAGTAATGTTGGTAAAAATGGGAGATTAGGAAAATTCAAAAGCCCATTAACTCCACAAAAGCAATGAAAAATCTGGCAAAAACTGTCAGAATCAACTTTTTCAGAACACTGAAAACTAACGAAAAGCTTGCAGCAACACAGGGGCACTCATACAAAACAGACGAGCTTTCTCACGTTGTAACCACCTTATTCCCAACTCCCACTCCTCAGCTCAGTAGTAGCCTTGAAAATAACCATCCACATTCCAGGTCCAGGTACAAATGCAAGAATAAACCTCATTCATAAACTGTCTTAAGCTGTTCTACCTTCCTGGAAGACCTGCTCAACACACTTGTCTTTATTTTGCCTGCCTAACTACACAGGACTTGTGTTAAAGTTGCCACCTGGGGAGCATCTGTCAAAAGTACCTACAGGCAAATGCTTTAACCCTTGCTTACTGGGGTAATGCAGAACAGTTGGGACAAACAGATTACCTAAAAAGCCTGAAAGGAAAGGTTTAGGAGTGAGATGTTTTTGAGGGATAAGAGTTCTGAAAATCTCTCACATATTCCTGGGACTGTAAAGCCTATACTTATGCCCAGGGCACTGTACATGCTCAAGAAAGGTCTGAGAAGGCTCTAAGCTCTGCCTCTGGCTGACCATGAGGCACCACACAAGCAGGAAGTGAAGGCTAACGCAGAGCTGTAAACTGCCTGGCTGGGTATTGACGGCACGCCCCAATACGCACATAGAACCCCTCTGCAAAAACTAGCTTCTGGGTCCAGGAATTTAATGTTTAATCATTACCTGACCATTGAGCTAGCAGAACAAAGATTTCAGAGATCACACACAACAAAGAAAACAGACACTCTAATATTTGATCAGAAATGTAACTAAACAATCAAAAACTACATCAATCGTCAATGATAACAAACCCTGGGAAGAGGGGAAAATCTATTTCCAGGGTTGTCACATTATAATATTCAAAATGTCCAGTTTTCAATAAAAAAGGATAAAGCATACAGAAAAATGAGAAAATATGGCCCCCACACAGGAAAAAAGAAGTCAGTAGAGAATGTTCCTAAAGAACAGAAAGAAGAATGAAGAAAAATGAACAGAGTCTAAGAGACCTGTGGGACATCATCAAGTGTATCAGAATATGCACAATGTGAGTCCCAGAGAGAGAGGAGAGAATGGGGCAGAATGAAGATTTGAAAAAATAATGGCCAAAAACTTCCCAAATTTGATGAAAAACAATCCCATCCAGGAAGCTGAATGAACTTCAACTAGGATAAAATGAAAGAGATCCACACCAAGATACATCATATTCAAACTGTTGAAAGACAGTGACGAGAGAATCTTGAAAGCAGCAAGAGAAAGTGACACATCATGCGCAGAGACCCTCAATAATATTAACAGCTGATTTCTCATCAGAAACCACGGAAGCCAGAAGGCAGTAGAATGACACAAAGAGTTAAAAGGAAAAAACTGTCAAGAAGTCCATATCTGGCAAAACTATCCATCATAAATGAAGAAATGAAGACATTCATAATTAAAATTTGATAGAGTTTGAAACTACCAGACCTGCCCAAAAAAGAAAGAGTAGGTAGGGGCTTCCCTGGTGGCTCAGTGGTTGAGAGTCCACCTGCCGATGCAGGGGACATGGGTTCGTGCCCCAGTCTGGGAAGATCCCACATGCTGTGGAGCGGCTAGGCCTGTGAGCCATGGCTGCTAAGGCTATGCGTCAGGAGCCGGGGCTCCGCAATGGGAGAGGCCACAACAGTGAGAGGCCCGCGTACCGCAAAAAAAAAAAAAAAAAAAAGAAAGAGTAACGGAAGTCCTTCAGGCTGAAATGAAAGAATGCTAGATAGCAACTCAAATCCACATGGAGAAATAAAAAATATTGGTAAAGGTAATTTACATAGATAAATACAAATGACAATAATAATCAATTTTGTTGTTTGTAACATCTATTTTTTCCCTACCTGATTTAAAAAGACAGACACATAAAGCAGTAATTATAAATCCATGTTGTTGGGTACACAATGCAAACTATAATCAAAACAGAACTAAAGTGGTATACTAACATCAAACAAAAGACTAACAAAAATTTTTGCAAGAGACAAATAAGGACATTATATAATGTTAAGATGATCAAGAAGATATAGCAATTATAATCATATATTTATCTAGAATCCAAACTCCAAAATTTATGAGGCAAAAACTAACAGAGTTAAAGTAAGAAATAGAATTCAGCAATAACAGCTGGAGAGTACAACATTCCACCCTCAATAATGGATACAAAAATTAGACAAAGATAAACAAAGAAATAGGGCTTTCCTGGTGGTGCGGTGGTTAAGAATCTGCCTGCCAGTGCAGGGGACATGGGTTCAAGCCCTGGTCTGGGAAGATCCCACATGCCACGGAGCAACTAAGCCCATGCGCCACAACTACTGAACCTGCGCTCTAGAGCCTGTGAGCCACAACTACTGAACCCGCATGCCACAACTACTGAAGCCCACATGCCTAGAGCCCGTGCTCCACAAAAGAGAAGCCACCACAATGAGAATCCTGTGCACCTCAACAAAGAGTAGCCCCCACTCGCCACAGCTGGGGAAAGCCTGCGCACAGCAACGAAGACCCAACACAGCCAAAAATAAATTAATTTAAAAAATAAATTAAAAAAAAAAGAAAAACAAAGAAATAAAAGACATGAACAACACTATAATGCAACTAGACCTAACAAATATGCCTAGAACACCTCACCCAACAACAGAATCTACATTCTTCTCAATCACACCTGGAACATTCTCCAGTATAGACCATATGTTAGGCAACAAAACAAGTCTCAATAAATTTTAGATAATTAAAATAATACTAAATATCTTCTCTGACCACAATGGAATGCAATCAGAAACCAACAACAGAAAGGATTTTGAAAAATTCACAAATATGTGGAAATGAAACAGCATACCTAAATAATCAAAAAGGAAATCACAAGGGAAATTAGAAAATACTTTGATATGAAAAAAACTGAAAACTCAAAATATGAAAACTTATGGGAAGCAGCAAAAGCAGTGCCCAGACATACATTTATACCTATAAGAACTTACACTAAAAAAGAATGATATCCAATCAACAACTTAGCCTTCCACCTTAAAAACTAGGAAAAAAAAAAGAGCAAGGTAAATCCAAAAGAAGGAAATGATAAACAGTAAGGAGAAGAGAGAGATAAATTGGCAAACCTTTAGCAGACTAACCAAAAAAAAAAGAAAAAAAAAGATTCAAATTACTAAAATCAGGAATAAAAGGATGTTACTACAAACTTTACAGAATCTAAAAGGACTATAATACTACAAAAAATGGTATGCCAACAAATTGGATAACCAAGATGAAATGGACAAACTCCTAGAAACACACAAACTCCCACAAATGACTCAAGAGGAAATAGATCTATAACAAGTGAAGACATTGAGTCAGCAATCAAAAAATTTCCAACAAAGGAAAGCCCAGGACCAGATAGCTTCACTGGGAATTCTACCAAACGTTTGAAGAATTAATATCAATCCTTCTTAAACTCTTCAAAAAATAGAAGAGAAGGGAATACTTCCTAACTTGTGCTATGAGGTCAGTATTACCCTGATACCAAAGCCAGACATCACAAGAAAACTACAGATCAAATCCTTTATGAACACAAAAAAAATTTTCAACAAATACTAGCAAACTGAATCTATCGAACACACTAAAAGAATTATGCACCACGATCAAGTGGGATTTATCTCAGGAATGCAAGATGGCTCAAAATACAAAAATCAGGGCTTCCCTGGTGGCACAGTGGTTGAGAGTCCGCCTGCCGATGCAGGGGACACGGGTTCATGCCCCAGTCCAGGAAGATCCCACATGCTGCGGAGCGGCTGGGCCCGTGAGCCATGGTCCCTGAGCCTGTGCGTCCAGGACCTGTGCTCCACAGTGGGAGAGCCCACAACAGTGAGAGGCCCGCGTACCAAAAAAAAAAAACAAAAAAACCCAAAAAATCAATTAATGTAATATACCTTATTAACAAAGGAGAAAAGTTTAGCCAAAAAGTAGATACATCCCAGATGTCCATCAATGGATAAATGGATAAACAAAATGTAGTCTATCCACACAATGGACTATCATTCACCCATTGAAAGGAATAAAGTATTAATAAATGGTACAACATGAATTAACCTTGAAAATATTATGTTAAGTAAAAGAAGACAAACACAAAGGGTCACATACTATACAATTCCATTTATATGAAATGTCCAGAATAGGCAGTTCACAGAAAGTATATTAGTGGTTGCCAGGGAGGAAGGTATGAGGAATGACTGCCAATTGGTATGGAGTTCATTTGGGGGGCAGTGGAAGGTTCTAGATTTAAATGGTGATAGTTGCATAATCTTGTGAATATACTTAAAACTACTAAATTGTACCCTTTAAAATGGTTAAAGTGATAATTTTTATAGCATATGAGTTTTATCTCAATAAATCTACCTAAAAAAAAAAGAGTGTATTATCTATACAAATGAGAGGAAAATCAGGCTGGCCTCAGATTTCTGCACAATCATATTTTTCCCTAACTTTTAATTTTGAAAGCTTACAAATCTACAGAAAAACTGGAAGAATTGTGCAATAAATAACCACAAACCCTTTATTGGTCTTATCAACCTAGATAGCATGTTTACTTTTCTTTTTTTATGTGATTGTCTTTTTTTTTTAGCTTTTAAACTAAGTTATCAATGGCACACACTTCACTATGTGCCTCCTGCAAAGACATTCTCCTACAAACCACAATATTATCATCACACCAAAAATCTGACACTGATTCAAAAACATTATCTAATATAAAACCCATATTCAAATTTCCCCAACTGTTCCAATAACATCCTTTATAGCTTTTTTTCTTTAAATCCACAATCTAGTGAAATATCATGCATTGCATTATTTATCAGGCCTTTTTGGTCTCCTTTAACACAAAATATTCCTCTTTTTGTTTTTCATGATATTAAGATTTGTGAAAAGCCTAAAGACAGGTTAGAATGTCAATGTTATAAAAATGCTACAATAACGTAAACAACAAAAATTGGTAGATGGGAGCAGGGAGATGGAGGAAATATGGGATTGTTCATGGATCCATCTTTCATAGAAGGGAGTTGATTGTTAACTGTTACAATTTAAGTATAGTACATAGTTTTAAAGAAAATGACTTGAGTCTCTTAGTGTCTTTAATAACCTTAAAGAAGTCTTTTAAGAAATATTATTTCTTAAGATAAAGAACATTTTACTTAAATTTCTTCAGTTTTAACTGTTTCTTTTTCAAATTAAACTAATTATATTTTTAAAATATACTGACAATGATAGTTTTTTATTCAAATATTTAAATTTTTCTTCAGGAAAAAAATATAACGAAAATCAATGAAACATACCTGATTCATACAACTTTTCTTCCACTGATAGCCCAATTTCTCACAAGTCTCTTTCAGGCATTGGTAAGATTTGTCAGCATCCAATTTGGTAAAAAATCGTGTCATTCTTTTGACCAGGCGCTGCCAGGGGTTCTACATGTCAAACAGAGGAAAGCTGAATAAATCATCAGATTTATCACAAAAGCAGTCATATCATAGCTATTTGGTCTGAAAATTTTTTTCTCTGACTTAAGATTCTTATACATCAGAGTCTTCCCTAGGAATTCCCTGCTGGTCCAGTGGTTAGGACCCTGCGCTTCCACTGCAGGGGGCATGGGTTTTATCCCTGGTCAGGGAACTAAGATCCCATGTGCCATGATGTGGCAAAAAAAACAAACAAAAAACAAAAAAATCTGTATCAAGTTTTAATATTATATTTCTTAGATTTATATATTAAAAGAAAAAAAAAGACTTTAAGACAATAAAAAATAAAGGGCTGCCATTATTTATTTGAAAAACTTTACCTGTGAGGATCCTGGGGTGCCGAGCAACTGACTGTTCAGAAGCATATGATCAGGACATGTGGGCTGGGAAAAACTGATCCCTTGTACCAGTTTATCAATGTATGAAGGGCTGGTGTCCCATAAGGAAAGACCTGTCCGTGGTTCTGGCTGAGAAGTGGAGTACTTCACATTTTCTTCACTGCAGCATTAAGATATGGAGAAAAGTATATCTTTAAATAAAATTCATCAGGCCTTTCTTATATCACATTACCATTCTCACACTGAAAAACATATTCATCATAAGAAAACAATATATACTTGTATTATTTTTCATGGGGACTATTATATCCAACAACTACTTGATTTTTTATTAATCAGTCTTACCTAGAAGCACTGTTTACTGGAGAGAAGTCCAAATTCGACTGAATATGCTTAGAGAATCCGCCAGGAGACTCTGATACACCACCTGAAGTGACTCGGGGCCTCTTTGCCCCTAAAAAAGAAAACATAAATACAAACGCTTTCAAGTTTTCTATGCAGATATTTTTTAATTAACCCAGCTGACAACTTGAAGAAGTAAAACCATATCTAAATTCATTTATTTAACACAAAATACTTATACGACAAATAGTGGCTCTTCCTACATGATTTTATGAGAAACATGGTCGTTAGGAACTTAGTAGGACTCACTTGCCAAATTGTATAAACTACACATTTCATAAATCCTGACCTCTAAGTATGTTCCAAGTGCAGGCCATAATTTTAATGGTACCATTTATAGTAACAGAATAATGTTCGATGAAGACTGAGAGACCCAGCTAAGGCATCAAAAATTTTTAAAATAAAAAATAATTTGTGATGATGACAATGAACATTATGAATCTGCTCTACCCAATCTTCTTTGCTCCTCTAGAAAAGCTTTACCTAAAATAATCATTATATAGAATATGATGCTACTATAAATTCATGGCTACTACCCTCAGCTGGATCCTCAACCTGGACAGTTAGTCCTACGTTTCTCTAGTCAGTTTCCTCTCCTTTTCCACAATGATTCTTTCAAAACTTCTATACTCCTGTCAGATTAACCAAGACCACCCTCCAGGACCTCATTACTTAGCATATGATACCATCTCCCATTTCACAAAGAAAATAAAGTCACTGGAAACTCCCTCAACTTGCCACTACCAAATCTGCTAACTTACTTGCATTCCTACCCATCCTCTCCCCTTCCATCCTCCCATCAAATGTCCATCCCTCTACTTGTAGTTGAGCCCATACCCTCCTTTCTCCTCAGGGACCTTGATGCTCTTTTATTCCCTCTCTCTTAGACTTTGAGCCTCTTCCTCTCAACTGGATCTACCCCCAAACCATTTAAACACGCTTAAGTTTAACCAACCTTTTTATTTATTAATCCATTCATTCAAATATTTTATTAAGCCTACTATGTTATCAGGCAGTAAGATGGGAGAAATGGCATGTTGTTATGCTGATAAGAAAGATCCAGTAAAGAGGGAAGAGTTAATAATGAAGCAGACTGAATAAGCAAAAGAGAACTGCATCTAGTGCTCAAGAGAAAGGGCTGGTTTATATCTGGAGCAATTTAGCCAGAGCAAAGGGAGAAAGCAGAGTATACGAGCACAGAGGCAGTTAATCAGGTGGGTAGAGATGGTGGTAGGAGTTTGTGGGAATTCCTTTGTTATTGCTTCTGTTTCCCAGCGAAATAGGAAGCATTGTCACCAACTGAGAGTGAGGATGGAGAAGTTGAAGAGAAAATAAAAGGTATAAAAATGTGATTTAGGAGAGTAGCGTTGTGAAAGAAGTGGGGAAATGCATTATGATTGCCTGGAAGGATTAAGGGCCCACTTGAGATCAGTGATCTTGAATTTAAAGCAGACAGTGCTGCATATTTTTCTCCAGCTGCAATCAGCTGTGGAGGTATAAGTGTAGAGTAGGTACAAAACAGGATTAAACTTAGGTTAAGTAGACTTGCTCAGTAAGTATGAGTAGACTTTCTCAGTAAGTATGATGAAGAGAGAATGGGCAATGGACTTCCCTGGTGGCACAGTGGTTAAGAATCCATCTGCCAATGCAGGGGACACGGGTTCAAGCCCTGGTTTGGGAAGATCCCACATGCCGCAAAGCAACTAAGCCCGTGCGCCACAACTATTGAACCTGTGCTCTAGAGCCCGCGAGCCACAACTGCTGAGCCCACGTACCACAACTCCTGAAGCCCATGTGCCTAGAGCCCATGCTCCGCAACAAGAGAAGCCACCGCAATGAGAAGCCTGCACACCTCAATGAAGAGTAGCCTCCACTCGCTGCAACTAGAGAAAGCCCGTGCGCAGCAAACAAAGACCCAACACAGCCAAAAATAAGTCAATAAAATAAATAATTTTTTTTTTAAAGTGAGAATGGGCAAGGAAGTTGAAGATAAATGTAAAGAAGTCATTACAGTGACTAACCTTGGGATTTAAAATAGTGAGGATGGAACTTGGGACCGAGAAGAGGGCAGATAAAAGATAGTGAAAAGGTAGTAGAATTGATGGACTGCAAGTCCAGGTGGGATCAAAGTGTTGCTGGAGTCAGGGTACTAGAGAGGGGAAACCAGAAAAAAATATACTGGTGGTCCAAGCAGGATGCTTGAAGACAAGATCGCTAGAGGAGAGAAAGTCAAGGAAATGTGAGGTGATGACAGTGGAAGGACCATCTAAATGAATATTTAAATTACCAAGAACCATGACAAAAATTACGTTAAGAGCTGTGTTGGAGAGAGTGACAATGTGGCAGGAATTTTAATTTGAGGTTCAGAAGGTGATTATTACGAGGGAATAGTGGGTGGTGGAGTCTGATAATAGGATTCAAAATGACGGGCAGAGGAATATGAAGAAAGAACAAGGAGGATGCCTGCTCCACTCCCAGATCAAGGGTATGAGGGTGCAGGAAAGAAAACACCTACCACCTGAGAAGAAGCAATGTCCTGAGAAGAAGCAATGTCCTCAGGGGAGAGCTGGATTTCAATTAGAATAAGGTGAAAGGTTAAAGAAACATTCAGGGAAGAGTTAAAAATTCCTCATTCATCTCTAGCTATTGTTCTCTCTCAGCCAAACTTCTTTACTGAGCTGTCTACACTCTGCTTAACTCTCTTTTACACTAGAATCCCTGTACAATAGAGTTTATTCTTTTTTTTTTTTTTTTGCAGTAAGCGGGCCTCTCACTGTTGTGGCCTCTCCCATTGCGGAGCACAGGCTCTGGACGCGCGTGGCATCTTCCCAGACCGGGGCACGAACCCGTGTCCCCTGCATTGGCAGGCGGACTCTCAACCACTGCGCCACCAGAGAAGCCCTAGAGTTTATTCTTAACTCTCCACCAAAACTGTTCCTGCCAAGATCATGAATAACTGCTGTATCATGGAATCCACAGGACAGATTTACTCCACATTCTTCTGATGTCCCATCTCTCTGGCTACTTTTCTCTGGCCTCTGCCCATCACTTAAACACTGGCATTCCTTAAAATTTCATATACTCAATTTAATTTACTACCACAGTTTAAATCACCATCTATTTACAGAAAGCACCTAAATCGACATCTCCAGCTTAGCCCTGTTTCCTGAGTTACACACATGCATGCACACAAGCACACTCACACACACACACACTCCTATGAGACAGTTTTATTTAACTTCTCAAATTCAAATAAAATGTCCAAAATCGAATAAAATTTCCCTGCAAATCTGTTTTTCCTCTTGAGTTACATCCAAGTAAATGGTTTCACCATTTACACAGCTGTTCAAACCAGAAAGGAGACATACTTTGACTCCTCACTCTCCTTCATTTTCCACATATAAACAATCACCAGTATTATCAACTCTAGTTCTTAAATTTCTCTGGAATCAACTTCTTCTTTCCAATCCCACTATCACTAACCTAGTCCAGCCTACCATCTTCTCACATCTAGGATCAAAAACAGTGAAAAAAAGTAGCTAGAAAGATCTTTCAAAACCAAACACATAAGCATGTCATTTCCTTGCTTAAAGTCTCTCAAAAGGTTTTCCCAACAGCCTTCGGTTAAAGCCCAAGATCTTTAACGTGGCTTACAAGGTCTTCCACGGTTTGGTTGCTATCTACTTTTCCAACCTCATCTCAAACCTCTCTCTCTCTCACTCCCCTTCTCCATTCACTTACTTTCTCAGCAAACATTTACTGAATGCCTGTGATGGACCACACACTATGCTAAGCACAGGTGATGCAATGATGAACAAGCCAGACATGGTCCATGCCATACTGGCCTTCTCTCCAGTTCCTCAAATGCACCACTTTCTAACCTCCAAGACATCCCAGATGCCGCTTCCATGTTCAGAATCTGCCACTCATCTTGCTACTACTCTTCTGGCTAGCGCCCCTTTAATCTTCAAATCTTAGATTTAACGTGATTTCCTCAGCAAGATAAGTGTTCTTTGTCACTTAAGACTTGGTCAAATTCTTAGCTGTAGTACCCTGACTTTCCACTTTATAATTATTAATGAGCTTAAAATTATTTTTTCTATTTCTGGTTTTTGTACTAGACATTATAATCTTCATGAGGACAGAGACCACAGCTCTTTTGTGTTGTTGACTTATACTGACTTTACAAGTACCTTTTTTTCACAGAAAAAAAAATACTTGTATTTTAAGGATATATTACCTTTCTTGAGTGGTTTGTTGTACCATCTATCTTTTTTGATGTCTGGGATGGTAATCCTTACTGATGGATTCTCAACTAGGATTTTATGCAGCAGAGCTGAAAACAAAACATTAAGACAACATTTATAAAAGACTCAAATAGATTAGAAAAGCCTACAGCTTGTGGTGTAGAACACACATCCTCTATTGCTTTCCTTATGTCCAAATATTATTTCTGGGGAAGAGAAAGAATAAAGCTACTGAATTTTTGCTTTAATTTCATGCATTCTTTGCTACTGTCTATATCTCTGAATATTCTTCCCAGAGCTGACTCTCAGTTGTTTGCAAATAAATAGAACAAGAGCTAGGTGGAAATGTTTCTCTTCACTTGATATTTATACAACAATAGCAAAAAAAAAACCCCTTTTATCCATTTTCAATACCAAACTTCACTGTTCCAATATGTCATATTAAGTCCTCGTTCACACAATTTTACAAGGGAAATTTACTTTCCAATAACTTTTTAAAAAATATTTATTTATTTGGCTGCGCTGGGTCTTAGTTGCGACACATGGGATCTTTGCTGCTGCACACGGGATCTTCACTGCTGCATGCGGGATCTTTAGTTGCGGCATGTGAACTCTTAGTTGCAGCATGCATGTGGGATCTAGTTCCCTGACCAGCGATCGAACCCAGGCCCCCTGCATTGTAAGCACAGAGTCTTAGCCACTGGACCACCAGGGAAGTCCCTCCAATAACTTTTTAAGAGACAGTAATAAAAGCAACCATCATCCTAAGGTACCTTAATTGTATTGATAAAGAATTCATTCATCTCCCAACATCAAAATAATTTTCTAATGGACTGAAGATTTAAATGAAAAAAATAAAGCCTTGAAAACATAAATGAAAACATAGGTAACTTTTTTCTAATGCTGAGGGTAGAAACATGATGATATAGTCAGAAACCACAAAGGACAGGTACTAGATTCAAATAAATAAAAATATAAAACTTCTGGGGACTTCCCTCGCGGTCCTGTGGGTAAGACTCCATGCTCCAACACAGGGAACCCAGGTTTGATCCCCGGTCAGGGAACGAGATCCGCATGCATGCCACAACTAAGAGTTCACATGCTGCAACTAAGAAGCCCACATGCCGCAACTAAGACCCAGTGCAGCCTAAATAAGTAAGTAAATAAATAAATAACTACTTTTAAAAAAAAAGTTAAGTTTAAAAAATATATATAAAACTTCTGCATGTCAAAATAGCATAAACAAAATAAAAATACATGACAAATTGTCAAAAATATTTGTAACGAATGCAAAGATCTAATGACATTAATATGTTTTTCAAAAACCTCATATAAAGTAAAAAGAAAACCTCCTACCAAAAATGAGCAAACTAGACACGTTCACAAAAACAGACTAAAAGCTAATAAATATACAATGAATATACAACTTCATTGGTACTAAATTTAAAATAAAAATAAAAAACAGAGGGGCTTCCCTGGTGGCGCAGTGGTTGAGAGTCCGCCTGCCGATGCAGGGGACACAGGTTCGTGCCCCGGTCTGGGAAGATCCCACATGCCGCGGAGCGGCTGGGCCCGTGAGCCATGGCCGCTGAGCCTGCGCGTCCGGAGCCTGTGCTCCACAACGGGAGAGGCCACAACAGTGAGAGGCCCACGTACCGCAAAAAAAAAAAAAAACAGAATACAGTTCTTATATGTAGGCCTATTAGATTAGTCAAAAAAAAAAAGTTTAAGGGACTTCCTTGGCAGTCCAGTGGTTAAGACTCCGCACTCTTCCACTGCAGGGGGCACGGGTTCCATCCCTGGTCAGGGAACTAAGATCCTTCATCCCGCACAGCATGGCCAAAAAAAAAAAGTTTAAATGTAAACTAGTTAGACTGTGATGAAATGGTACAAACTTTCCGGAAAACAATTTGGCAAAGTAAATAATAATAATTAAAAACTGTATACATCTTTGACCCTGCAATTCCACTTCTGGGGTTTTACTTTAATTAAATAATTTAAAGGTATGTGCAAAGATTAAGTTATTTGGATGATCATCATATCTCTTTCACAGCAGTGAAAAATTAGAAAAAATCCTGAATCTCTAAAAAGGTGAACTGGATAAGTATAGTAAGCCATGTCCATATAGCAGAATACCATCACAGTCTTTAAAAACAGTGATGTAGACCTACAATTATAGTCATGAAAAAATGTTCACAAAGCATTAACACACAAAAAAATACTGGTTACAAAATAACATGTATAGTGGGATGTCATTTTTTGTGAAAACACACATACTTATAAATAATATACATATATAACAAACACATAGTTTTTACTACAAAATATAGAAGCACATATCAAAACATTAAAAGAAGCTATTCCGTGGGAGGGAGGGAGATGCAAGAGGGAAGAGATATGGGAACATATGTATATGTATGACTGATTCACTTTGTTATAAAGCAGAAACTAACACACCATTGTAAAGCAATTATACTCCAATAAAGATGTTAAAAAAAATAATAAAGAAGCTCTTCCTGAGTGCTGGGATTATAGGGTTGGATTTTACAATTTTTTAATTTATTATTCTTCTACTTCATCTATAAAGATCATGGATTATTTACATAATGATTTAAAAGTTAAAAAGAAAAAAAATGTAAGAAAAAAATTCAAATAGCACTAGGCTTCATTATCCAAGAAATCAGTACTTTACATCAAAATAACCCAGTTACCTAGAGGAGCAGAATCGATTTTTTTCCAAGGGTTGAGGTATGTTTTTTTTTCTTTCCAATCACAATATTCCTGACAACTATCACTAGGCTGGTCCCACGGCAATTCTGAAAAAGAAACAAGTCTCAGTTTTCTAAGTGTTCAAATAATTATACAATTTTAAGGGAAATAATAATCAATGACACAAATCCAGTAAAAGTTTCCTCCAAATTAATTCAATATGGTTTCCAAACTAAGAATGCCAACTCTAAGAAATTTTAGAGGCACTTCTAAGATAGATAGTCCACTTCCTGCCTTACTCTTTTCCAAAAGTATTCACATGAATTTTAAAAGAGAGAGCTACTGTGATATTTCATTTAATAGCTATACATACTTCATTTTTAAAAACCTTTGGGATTAAAAGTTCCAAATTAGTTATAAATAAGTTAATATTAAAATACTACCACATAAATATGGATCCCCTTGATTCATTTCATTTATTTTGGTATAAGAAACCTGGCTTTCCTAAAGACAGGAATTTTATCATGATTAAAAAACTCAAAGCTGCTGCATAGCACAGGGAGATCAGCTTTGTGACGACCTAGAGCGGTGGGATAGGGAGGGTGGGAGGGAGGCTCAAGAGGGAGAGGATATGGGGATATATGGATACATATAGCTGATTCACTTTGTTGTACAGCAGAAACATACACAACATTGCAAAGCAATTATAATACTCCAATAAAGATGAAAAAAAATTACACAGAAAAATAAAAGAATAAATAAAAAGCTCTTACCTCCAGCCAACATTGCAGTAAGTACTATTCCACAGGACCAAACATCAACTGGTTCTGCATGAAATTCTTTTCTCTTTAGAAGTTCTGGAGCAACATACGGTAAAGTACCACACATCTTGTTCAATAAACGCTCTCGATTATTATGCCGAAACACTGTTGCCAAACCAAAGTCAGAGATTTTGAGGTTATCTAAACCAAAGGAAAAGAGGATGGCACTGGATAAAAATGTTTTGTAAATAGATATACTTAAAGGAGTTGAGTTGTATTGGAAAACCACTGGTGTTATGACCAAAAAGAAATTTTTAAAAAGAAGAAATTAAAGACATTATCACATAGTTAAAACTAGAAAAAGGCCTCATGGCTTCTATTAACTTAAGACAAATATTGTCAATACACAAACAGTATGGACCAGATTAAAGAAAGATCCTGGAGTCAAAAGGGCCTTCTAGAAAAGAGCACTCCAGACTTAAACACTGAAAAGAGAGCCATGCCCTCATCGGGTTGTGCAGAGGGCAGGAGGGAGACATCAATAACATACTAGGCACAACTTTTCCAGCAGTGGACAAACCCAGCTGGCTGGACCGAAACTAAAGACCCACAAACCACCAGAACTTCTTGTCAAGGTGGCTAAGTTTAGAAAAGGAGGACGAACTCTGTACAGAAAACAAACCAGAAGAGCAAATTTCCACTCTAACTTCCCATCTTCAGCACACACAAGCTATCGGCAGAACTTTCACCTTAACTACACTTAGTGAATATCTACTGTAACTGAGCGACACTGTGCTAGCCATGTAGGTAGATAAATTACTGAAGACTAACAATAACAACTGCTGTCGAGGTTATGAAAATATAGAACATTACAAGATCTTACAGAAAGGGAATCTAACCTAGTCTTCAGAAATAGGGGAGACTCCCCTATTCTTAGGTATCAACTGGTAAAACTATTTTAGAAAGCAATCTGGCAAAAGATGCCAAAATTTGAAATACTCCTGCTCTTTGAACTAGGAATTCCCACTTCTAGGACCATACCCACAAAAATACTTCCACAAATTCACAAACATAAGGATATCCATACCATAACAATACTGTTTGTAAATAACCTAAATGTCCATCAATAAAGAAATGATTAAATCTTATAGTACACATGTACAATGAGATTATGTAGGTAACAAAAAACAAACAAAAAGCACAAGGTATATCTACATGTGCGGACATGGAATCAGGTATAAATGGAAAAAACGGCAAGTGCCATAATAAATCTTCATTATGACATGACCTAATTTTTATATTGGCCTGTGCATTAATTTATAGAATAGTCATCACCGCCTTATATTTTTTTAAAGCTAGAAATAACTTAAATGTTCCAAAGCAGGGGACTGATTCTTTAAAAATCAATTACATCCACCCAATGTAATATGTAAGCCACTGATGTTTACTTCTATGACTTGGGAGGTGGCTACTGTAATTATCCTTTTAACAGCTATATATGACACAATCTTGACAAATGACTGAGATTAAGAGTTCCAAGTTACCTATAAGCAATAATCACTGAAAATACTAACGGATGACCACAGTATTCCTTAGAGTCTGTAGTTTCACTATGTCTGTGACATAATACTTAGAGAACTGTATATAATAAATTTTAAATTGAGGAGTGTGGTTACTTCTGAGAAAAAGAAAGGGGCACACATTTGGAAGGAATACAGAGGAGGACTTCAACTATATTGATAATGTATTTCTTTTTTAAAAAATATTATTATTGAATAGAAACAAAAGATTATTTATATAATACGCAAGATATGAAAAATCATTATAATCAACATCCACTCACCTAACACCTAGTTTAAGTACACTCTATATTCTTTGAAACCTCCTATAAATCCTTCCCTTTCCTAACTGCAATCCTTCCTTTCTAGAAGATTTTATGTAGCTTGAAACCTATTTAATAAAAAAAGGACTTAATTTGTATATGAGGAATGGGAAGAATTGATTATAATACCATCAAAGCTATTAGTATCCAAAAAGTAATGGACATAGAATGAAAAATAGAAGCAGAGGGAAGTCTCCCAGCTTGTGCTCTCATTTCTTGGGATTCATCAACAGACCATTCTACAGTTCCTTTTCCCAACACACCAAATGTTTTGAATATCTAAAATTTTGCTACATACTTTATGGAACAACTTGCAGAAGGCTACATAACCAAAGAAGGGTCTTAAGTAGCTAGGTTAGTAGATGGGTTAATAAAAAGATACCTAAAAGATATTAACCAAAATATTAACACTGGTTATAACTGACTGGTGAATTTCTGGTGATTTTTTACTTTCTTTTTTATACTTTTGATCTTATTTCATGATTACTTTTATCTTTATAAAGAGAAAAAAAACAGTATTTTTAGTTTGGGAACAGTTTTCACATTCCAGATATTACATACTCACATCTCCATTACTTATATAAGCTGGCTTAATTTATCCCCTGGTATGAAGGTCAATTATAGAGTTCAGAAAGAGGTAGAAGAAGGCTGATAAGAACATACACTGGTACTCATGATGGGGCACGATACTGCCAGAAACACTAAACCTCAGGGTTGGACAAGATGTGAAAATTACTTTGGTCCAACCAGCCAAGCAATGTTTAAATTCCCTTTACAATATCCCTGATAATTAATAATCCAGTGTTTGAATCTCCTGTTAAAAACCTACTACAGGGACTTCCCTGGTGGCGCAGTGATCAAGAATCCACCCGCCAATGCAGAGGACATGGGTTTGATCCCTGGTCCAGGAAGATCCCACATGCTGCAGAGCAACTAAGCCCGTGTGCCGCAATTACTGAACCTGAGCTCTAGAGCCCATGAGCCACAACTGCTGAGCCCATGTGCCACAACTACTGAAGCCCACGTGCCACAACTACTGAAGCCCACGTGCCTAGAGCCCATGCTCCGCAACAAGAGAAGCCACCGCAATGAGAAGCCCGTGCACCACAACGAAGAGTAGCCCCTGCTCGCCACAACCAGAGAAAGCCCATGCTCAGCAATGGAGACCCAACGTAGCCAAAAATAAATTAATTAAATTAAAAAAAAAAAAAACCTACAACAAAGCAACCTATTAAGTTCTGGGGCAGATCCATTAATGAGGGTCATCTTTGTACTAATCCAAATTGCCTCCACATAGTTTTCACCCACATACTGTGAAGAACTGTATTTAACAATTAGCAAATTTCCCTTGAGTTCCTCAATTATGCCTTATTTTACAAAGTTTCTAGCCCTTTCAGCATTCTGGTCACTCACCTATAAAAGTACTTCGGTAGTCTACATGCCTTTCACAGTACTGTCCGAAACACCTATTATTCCCGCCATGGCCTTCCAGAGAAGTGCTGGACTGCTGCCTTCCTCATTCTCACCTTATCACCTTAATTTTCCAATGATCAAATTACATGGGTGACTAATATGAAGTCTGCTGCCTAGTAAGTCTTTTTAAACCTTCTTTGCTGCCAAAGACATGCCATTAAACTGTACTTATTTCATTAGTTTTTTTCAATCCAAATACTGAATTGAGTAACGATCCAGTATGTGTTAAATCTGACCCATCTCTCTGGTCTGCTAAATTCATTCATCTAATAAACATTGTTGAAAACCTACTATTTGCCAGGCACTATTCTAACACATTAAACAAAACAGACAAAAATCACTGCCTCATATGCAGTGGATATTTGTCACCTTTTTCGATCCTGATTCTATAAGCTAACACTAACACTATCCATCCGTCTCAGTTTTTATGACATCCATAAAATATAACTAAAAGCCCTGCATCTTTATCCAAGTCATAAATTAAAAAGAACAAATACGTCAAGGCTAAGGTCCAGGGTATTTCAATTTCATATTTTTTGCCCTGAAATTTCGGTAATGGAAAGCCTTGATCCTGCCTTTGTATGGCTGTACTAAAATGATTAGGTAGCAGCAACAAAATGCTAAACTTACCCCTTTCATCCAATAGGAGATTTTCTGGCTTAATATCCCTGTGAGTTATTCCAATACCATGCAGATAAACCTAAAAGAGAAGCAGAGAAAAGCATACCAGAATAGGGTAACTTACTTCACTAAGACTAATTTTAAGTAAAAGTTAGAGACAACTGTACCTACCACCCCTGCCATGAGTTGATGGAAGAACCTCTGAGCATCTTGTTCAGGCATGCCTATGTCTGGCTCTATAAGAATTAGTTATGAAAGTTAGTTCACCAGGTAAATATAATCAGTCATCAACCACACAGTCTCCTAATTCGAAAGTTAAACATTTGTGATTGTACTTTAGCAAAGAGAATCTAATGCTAACAATGAAAAGATTCTGGAGTCCACTAGTACATATAGTACTTAATAACTCACATTTCCCCATGTGTTAAGTGGCAAAAATAAATTAACATCACAGGAAAAGTACAGAGAAATAACAAACTATCACCCAAATCAAGAATGCAAGCCATACCTTGAAAGCCCCTACTTATACTAACCATGATTTATTTGGTATCTTTCAAATTCTCCCCTAATTTCTTCTAAATGCTATGCCAATATTTTTTCCACTCCTGAAATGTAATTGCCGAAGTGGAAGCCTACACAAATCTAAGTTGATTTCACTAAATACTTAACAACAAATTTAAACTTCATATAATTTCTCGCATTACTACAAAACCATGAATTCCTGTGAAGTTACTTCAGGAAATACAGTTTTATTAAGAAAGGTTCTATTGTCAGTTATCTTTTTATATTTTTATCTCCCTCATTAACTTTTGATTTCTTTTGTTCTCAACTTTTCTGAGATAGATACTGAAGATTCTAATAATCACTTTTTAACTGCTAATACAATAGCTCTAAATAATAAATTTAGATCCACAGAATATATTTTATGTACTTCTTACTGTTCTTTAATATCAAGACTTTGAATCTACACAGAAAATTTAAGCAGCAAGCACAGATTTTACTTTATATAAAGCAATCGTAGAAAATTCTCAATTTCACTTATGTAACAACTTGCTATTATTTTGGATCTGTAAATGTATACAATAATTTCATGAGACTAGAATGTCTACAAAGAAAAAAAACTTTTTCTGCATATGCATACATCACACTTATGATTCTTCACCATGAGACCACAGTTTACCATTCTTAAACTCTATATAATAGCAATCCCACCCCAAATCACTTATACAACTTGGGAAAAAAGTTTCTTCGATGACTCTACATATGTATCCAGTGTTTACATAAGTTGCAAAAACAAGAAAATTTACTCCAATTTCACTATTGCATAAGCAAGTCTGAATGGACAATGAAGAAGCAGCAGTCCCAAGATTAAAAAACAAATTTAAAAACTTATTTAACATAAGAATTATCTTCAATCTTTTCCATACCTATTCTATCAAAAAGTTCTCCCCCACTACAGTACTCCAGAAATAGATACTGGATATTGCCTTCTCTCCTGTGACCATAGAATTTCACTACATTCTCATGATTTAACATTTTATTGATACAAATCTCTTTCTTAATATTTTCTGGACAGTCTATGGCACGCTTCATGTCCACAATCTTCACTGCAACTGCTTCTTCAGTTCTTCTATTCACAGCAAGTTGAACTCTAAAAAGAAAAAGGAAGAGTTATAATATTCCAGACATTTGAATTATATTTCTTTTAAAACTTCAAAAGGCTAAACATAACTCATCCAAAACTATTTTACCTTTATTAGTTTCTCCACCTGGGAGAAACCATGGGAATGGTTTATGCCATGTTCTCAACAGATACTACTCCTTTCTGAAATGTGAAGTATGATAGCTAGTGTTCCAAAGAAGTCATTATGCTGTACATCCAAGTCATTTAATAAATTCTTAATAAACTAAAATGGGATAATAGCAATTCTAGGCCACATCACATATACACATGCTCTATTCATTTAACTTGTTTTTCTTCCACTTTTACTGAGCTATAGTTGACATAAAGCACTGAAACGATTATCACAAGTTTAGTGAACAACCATCATTTCATATAGATACAAAATTTTAAAAATCGAAAAAATACATATTTTCCCTTGTGATGAGAACTTAGTATTGACTCTTTTAACTTTCATACATAACATACAGCAGTGATAATTATATTTATCATGTTGTACATTACATCCTTAGTACTTATTTATCTTTTAACTGGAAGTTTGTACCTTTGGACCACCTTCATCCAACTTCCCCTCCCCTACACCCTGCTTTTCTGGTAACCACAAATCTGATCTCTTTTTCTATGAGTTTGTTTGTTTGTTTTTGAAGCATAATTGACCTACAACACTATGTTAGTTCCTGTTACAACATAGTGACTCGATATCTCTATACATTTCAAAATGACCACGATAAGTCTGGTTAGGATATGACGCCTTACAAAGATATTACATAGTTCTTGGCTATACTCCCCACACTGTACATTTCATACCGGAGACTCATTTATTTTGCAACTGAAAGTTTGTACCACAGGTATTTCTCTCCTCCCCAGCACCATCCTCCCCTCTGGCAACTACCTGTTTGTTCTCTGTATCTAACTCTGTTTCTCTTTGTCGTTTGTTCATTTGTTTAGTTTTTTAGATTCACCCTATTAAGTGAAATCATGCAGTGTTTGTCTTTCTCTGTCTGACTTATTTAAACTTAGCATAATACCCTCTAGGTCCATCCATGATGTCCCAAACGGCAAGATTTCATTCTTGCTCTATTCATTTAATTGTAATAACATTACCTAGCATTTATTAATCTGATACTATATGTGTCTACAGTAACTGTTCTAAGTACTTGTGGGATATGCCATTTTACAGAGGCACACAAGGACATTAAGAAGCCTGCCTAAGAACACAAAACAATGACCAGCAACGTGACTCCAGAGTCTGTTCATTTGCTCATTGAACCACTATGTTTGAACCCCAGGAAGGAGTATGTGGGAGGAGAAACTGACTTCAGAAGTCTCCTCTAGCTCTTTAGGAAGAGAATGTTTTTGTGTTGTTTTGTTTTTAAAAGGAAGAAAAAAAAATAACCCTTACAAAAGATTGTGTAGCTTCAGTTCCCCAAAGTTTTAGATTTCAAATGCAAAGATCTGTTCTCCAAAATAACCAACTTGTACTCAAAGGAGACAACAGAAAACTAAAGCAAGTGTGAAGTCGGGGTAAAAGGACTCAAACTCACTCTCCATAGGCACCTTCTCCCAGGGTTTGCACCAAGTCCCAGTCTTCCACAAAGGGCACTGCCATGACTCCACTAAGTCCCGCGGCTGTAAAAGCAGGAACCCAGAAAAGACGGTGGCTGAGGACACGCTTCAATCATCTGTAAAGCCGCTGGGCTCCGCCTCTTGCCGTGATTCTTCAAGGTGAATCACAGCTCCTGGTTTCCCCTTACACCTCATCCATATTTTACCCAAGTCTTTAAAGCACAAGCAAGTATTCTAAACTCTGGCATTTCGTTGGTAACTCACAAGCCCCGTTCCCACGCAAAGCGAAGGCTGAAACGCCGCCTTCCAGGCGGCCGAGGAAACGTACCAGTGGCGCGGAGGAGTTGGGGGACCAGTGCTTTACGGTGGGGGACTGGGGAAGGGGGTGAGAGGTGAAGCGTCGGGCTAGAGTAAGGGGATGTGGGCTAGCAGAGGAGGAAATAATCGCTACGAGGACCGCAGCCGCTCCTCCCGACCCGCTCACTCCCAGTTCCCACCCACGCCCCGTCCCCAAGGCCAGGAGGAGCTCGGGGCGGAGCCAAAATGCCCCAAGAAGCGGAAGGAAGGGCTGGGTGACACGCGGACGGCTGGGGCCCAAACCTCGGGTGCTCTCGGCCTGCAGAGGAAGTCTTCTCTCCAGTCCCTGTACAACGGGGTCCGCCTGGCACCCCACTCCTCCACCCTCCGAAACCGCCCCTCCGCAGGAGTCTCTCCGATCCTCTAGGCTCGGCGCTGAGAACTTTCTCTCGCTGTGCCCCTCCTAAATCATGTAGCCCCCGAACTCCGGCTCCAGAAACTTTTCCCCCTCTACCGGCCGCCCTTCCTCACCAGGCCGTCCTTTGCCCGCCACCACAGGAATCCAAATGCGGGGCTTTTCCCGCCAAAACTTGCTGGCGTCACATTGTCGCAAACGCACGCTCCCTTGCCGGAAAGCAAGGAGGCGCGCGTTCCTGGGCCGGCTGCTCTGCAGATTGGGCCGGCCAGGGCCTGGCGCCTGCATTCCCCGCAGGCTCACGCTGGCCGGGGCCGGGTTACTTTCAAACCAGGAGGAGATCCTGGCTGAAGAGGTTTAAGAACTGCCGAGTGCATCGGTGTGAATGACCCCCGGGCCCAAACGCGAAGTGGGACCCGGCGTGTGACCTCGGCCGGCCGGCTGGCCGCCCGTCCCCGCGCTCCCGGGGAGAGCACCACTGCGGGGCTAGCTACCGCCGCCCCGGACCCCCGAGCATCTCGCCCCGCTGCCTGGCAGGGTAGCGAGGATCACACTCCGTACGTGCTGTCTCTGTAACTTTAAAGCGCGGCCCAGATAAAACTGGAGCCGAGAAGCCAGGGACAGCTGTTGAGCATTGATCCTGTTTAGAATGAAAGGAACTTTGTGATAGGAGCGAGAAGCATCAAATACTGGCTGCACTGTAATGGGGGGTGGGAAGGCATCGGGATGAAGAAAGCTACTCTTCTGTAGCTGGAGGTGATGTCAGGATAACCAGTTTTAACCATGTCTCGTCCGAACAGGCACCAAAACAATACCTCCACTCAACCTTTTTGAAGGAAGTGCAACTGCGTAGCTTAGTTCTACCTGCTCTCTCTTTAATGTGTAAGAAACGGGCAGGTAGAAGCAAAAACGCTGCATTTTACAATGCAAATTTTAAAAGCAGAATAACCAGTTTAGGTGCGAAAGTAAATTCTGAAAAAGGGACTGGCTAGAGAAAACAATGTGGAAAAACTGAAATAGATACTCCCTCTCAACAGTAAACTAGACTGGGAACTCAAGGCGCAGGCAAGATCATCTATTCTCCAATTCTTAAAACTGGGCCACATACAATAAGCATAACTAGCTCTTGATTGTGATACTGGTAAAATAAGTGTAAAATATGTTACACAAAAATGCATACATTTGTTTAAAAGACAAAAAACAAGACCAGAACACTTCGAAATGCTTATGTGAGAAGTTTTTAACCGTGACATCACTGTTTAGGTTTTGTGTAATAAAGTAAGTTTTCCAGATCGTTTACCCCATTTTCTCTAGTTTCTGCACTGCATGCTGCAAATATGAAGAAAGGAAGAGGAGGACCAGACCGGCACAGTTCCTTTGTGTCTAGATAGAATAAAGGTATCTTAGCCTGAAAAAAATAAGGCATACACATCTCAGGCAGAGTATCAGTTAAAGAATAGATGCTCACAAAAACGTGTTCCCTTCTGAAACCTTACTAAAATAGTAAATTTTAAGAGTAAATATTAAAATTAATAATGAAATATTAAATTTACTATTTTAAAATAGTAAATGTTTAAAAGGCAATAACCCACAAACACAGAACATGAAAAACAAAATTTTTGCAAAGTGGAGAGTCTTTAGATGAATGGTAATTTAGATGAAAGAAAGATGAATCCTAAAGCCAGCAATGGGAAAGCAGAAAAGCAATTTGGTTTACATCATAGAACTCCCTAAAGGCTCAAGTTGAATTAGTGACAACAGGTACTGAATGAGGCGAAGGTGGGGCTAAAAGAGGGTGAAAGACTATGTATGAAGCGAATAGACCCTTGGGTCCTCTCCCTCCTCTGTGTATACAAGGAACTGCCCCTCCCCGAAGCTGGTACTAGACTTGAGAGGGTAAATACATGGTTATCTGAACTGGATAGCATCAGGCACAGTTAAGGGTTAGGTACCTAACTGAAACCAAAAGGATTAAGTTTATGCACTGAAGGTTGAACCTGTGAGCCTTCTTTCCTCACTTTACTCCCAGAAATCTGGCAGCCTGGCTTGTATCCTTCAGAGGACATAAAAGCCTTCTCAAGGGAATCTTACCTATATAGAAGAAAAGATCTAAAGATACCAATATCAGGGATTTCATAATGTAACAATGCAGCCAGATCACAGGAGAATGAAGCCCACATTCAATAAGCCCCACCCCAAACCAAACAGACCTTCCAGTCATCTTTTTAGGGTCCCACTCTTTAATGAGAGCAAACAAGCAAGACTTTGAAAAGGCCTTTAATATGAAAGATGTCCAAACAAAGGAATATTCAAACAAAAAGCTCTTGGATATTAAAAAAAATACATGATAGTAGAAAAAAGTAAACAAAATAGATAGGTTAGGAACAAAAAGTTTAGGAAATCTCCAGAAGGAAGAATAAAGATGGGAAACAGAGAATTAAATATAAGAATATTGGGAGACTAATCTAGGAAGTCCAAAATCCAAGTAACTTATTTTTCACAACAAGATAGGGAGTCGGCGGAATCCACAAATGACTCAAGAAAATTTCCCAGACAAAAGAACTTGACCTTCCATACTTTTCCCATACTTTCCATACTTTACTTTTCCAAGGTTAAAGTACCCAGCTTCTGAACACATCATTGGGAAAATTTCAAAATAGTACATACAAAGAGAAGATACTAAGAGGTCTGGGGAGGGAGTGAGAGGGAATGGACACATACAAAAAAAAATAAGAATCAGAATATCATTGCATTTCTCAGCATTTAGAAGACAGAAAACAATGGGCCAATGCCTTCAAACATAATTCTAAGGAAAAGTTAATCCCAACCTGGAACTCTACACCTAGGCAACCTATGAATCGTGTGATGACAGACACTCAAGACCTCAAGAAATTTATCTCCCACACACTTTCTTAGGAAGGTAGTGGTGATAAATCAAGAAAGAAGTCAGGGGATTAACACACAATATAACAGTGGAAGGATACACCAACCCAAGAGGTGGGTAGCAAACCTAGAGAGTAAACCAATCCAAACTGGAATATACCAAAACAGACGACATCTCTAAGAATGAATACCTAATGAGTTGAACATACTAAAAGGAAGCTGGCACAAATGAAGGTGAGTCTGGGGAGAAATCAGTGACGAGTACAAAACACAAGTGAAAAAACTCCCTTCAAAAATGTTATGCAGAAAAAAAAAGTAGTAACATTATATATACCACGTGGCCTAGTTGTGAAAAGCCTTAAGGTAAAAACTACTGAGTTAACCTAAACCATAACTATAATAGAGCCTTGAGATGGTAAGAATATGTGTGTCCATGGGAAGAGAAGGATGGTGAAAAAGAACCAAATCCTCAATTTCCACACCAGAAAGTCAACAGATGATACCTAAAAGTGAAAAACCAACACATAGCAAAATAAAGCAAGTCATTTAATGATATGGAGGTAAGTAATATGAGAATCAGCTGAGTTGAAAGTGGGTACCTCGGGGGGGGGGGGTGTGGAAAACAGCGTTGTTGCTTTTTAGAATTATTTGATTTTCTTTTACTGTAACGATGGAAATTAGAAGTGCACTGTAACGATGGAAATTAGAAGTAAATTTTTAAAAAATATAGCTTCATGTAGCCTAGAAAGTAACAAAATTAAAATCATAAGAGTAACAAGTACAGTGATAAAGGGTTATCCCATTCCTACAGAGGTAAATCACTAATGATCTCTAACTGGTATTACTCATATTGGTTAAAAAAACAAACAAAAAACCCACGTCTGAATAACCTCTTCCACTAGGGAGGAATTCTGTATATAAATCAAGTCATGTATTTACATATAGTAAATCAAATCTTACATCAGATCTAAATCTCACCCACAGTTGAAGCACGTGGTACATAAAACTGGTTTGGAAGGCTGCTTCCTGGGTACACAGGTAGACCCGAGCATACCTTTAGGAGCACCATTTTGACTTATCTGAAAGTCACGTCATTGCTCCTGTTTCTTAAACAGGTAACAGTAAAGAGTTACCTTGTATTTTTTTTTTTAATAACTAAGGGTTTATACACATCACTGACACATGTCTTAAAATACATAAAATACCCTATTGTAACTGAACATAAGGCTGTTTGTCCTGACATCAAATATAGATGGAACTCCTGTGCTTTTTGTAGCTAATTTGGCAAGGGCTTCAGAACCAGATCATGGAGCTTGTTAGTGATATATAATAACAGAGGCTGAGACTAAGGGAGAGAGAAGCTCACCTTTAAATATTCACAACAGTTTTAGTGCATGAGCTAAAGGAAATCGCTAAAGGACAAGTGAGAGTACTGAAAAGCTAGATTTCAGATAGATACGTATGGTTACAAATCAGCTAATTCAAAAACACCTACTGACCATCAAGTTCTATACACGATGTTGGAGGAGTTTCGTCCTCTCCATCGAGAATAATTTCACTGTTTGCCTTAAGTCTTCAAAACTACTGATTTAGTATCACTGGATTTACTCCTGCATAAAAACAAAAACACCTAGCTAGTCCCAAAGAAACTGGTGAGATCAGGTCTGGCTAGCCACCTTCTGTCCCTTGTAGTCAAAGAGCCTCTAAGGACAAGAGATGTTGAGAACAGAGACATGATGGCAATGCAGCTACCTTTCCTGCCCAGAAACGGCACTCCTCTGGTCCCACAAACTTTTATTCATTCAGTAAAAGCTTACTGAGCACCCACTATGTGCAAGGCATTGTGCTAGGTACTGCAGTTTTTGAAATGACAAAACTGTTTGTATATGTAGGATCTGAGCTAGTCCTTGATAGTTCTCCTGATTTGAGAGAGAAAGACAGAATGCCCCTATGTGGCTCATTTAGGGAGCCAAGAGCACAGATGAGGTCTGTTTTCTGTCCTTCTATCAGCCTAGCATGAACTTTAGGCTTCCTCAAATCAGTCATAAGTCAAAACAAATAAGGCACATTTTTAAAAAAATTCCCCCCTTTAATTGACCAAAGTAAAGCCATGACATTTCATTTGGTAACCTGCTCAGAATTATAAAGATCATTCCATTTGGCTCAGCCCATACTGCCCAGGACAAAACCTCCAGACAATTCTAATCTCGTCGCGCTCTGTTCTTATAAACTGCGTATTTTTAAACCATCTTCAGCGCCCTAAATGTGACACACTCAGTGCGAAGCAGATCAGAGCCGAACGGACGTAACATTTATGTCCTTGACAAGCCACGATTATCCAGGTCCTTCACCTGCCAACAGAAAGGTATCAGTTTAATATTTACAATCATCAGGTCAACATGGGAGAGCTTCTCTACTGAGCTGGGTTCACCCAGATGGGGACAGATTATGTTGGATTATGCTGCCTGGTTTGGCTCTGGTGTGGGACTAGCTACTCTTCCAAATACAGCAAGAGTTCTCAACCTTTTCTTACGTAAGAGATATAACACACTTCTATGTGACTCTCTATGCCATAAGTTCTTCAGTGGGAGAGAAGAAAATGTAGTTCGAAAACACACACACACTCTCCTTCTCTCCCTCTTTCCCTCTGTCCCTCTCTTTCTCTCTCCCCCCACCGCTCCAAGACTGACAATCACTAAAACAGATCAAGTCTGGCTCCAACTGGAAAAATATCACTGTAACCACTTCCAGGATGACAGAAGACTAGAGTGTCTACTTTCTAAGAACAATCTAAAATAAAAATATTCTAAGTGAGTCGCAAGCTACTTTTTAGACATTAGAAATATCCCTATTTTATAAACATGTGGCCCCGTTTTTAAGCACTAGAGCTGCTTTCTCAGTGTTACATCTGCTCACCTTGTATATCCTGACCAGCCAATGTTCTGTGGTATATGCTTCCTCCAGGACATCAAGCTCAAAGTCTTTATTCCCAATCTCAGCATTCCGAACACGGTCATAGCCTAGTGGACGCTCTAGAGAGTGACAAAAATGGAGACACACATCTTTCTACAGTGCTTATTTCCTACAGAAATACTAAGTCAACTTGATTAGTCATCCCACTGGAACGTTATTCCCTAGCATGCAGTTTGTTTAGAGAGTAGGGCTTGCAGAAAAGGACATCAGTTAGTAAGGGCAAATCAAGTGTTACCCTAACTCACGTCCTCTCCGAGATGATGCTTGGCAGAGTGCATGGAGGTTATCTCTTCTAAGAGACAGAGGGCTGACTTCCAAGCACCTTTGTTCCTGAGGATTACCACCCATGGCCTCTGTGATACACTAGCAACCCTTCTGAACCTATCAGATGTCACAGGCCTGCATCTAATTCAAAAGTAGTCCCAACTGCAGAACTAAGAAAGGAAAGAAGTCAGAAAGAAAGACTTAATCAAATTACTTTCAATTTATCTGAAGAAATGTAAAGTCCTTTATCTCGCTCTATCCCCTTTCACATTCCTTTCTCCACTACAATACCGTTTACTGAGAGGCAATAAAAAGTAATGGGCAAAAGCACAAAAGCTAGAGCCAGACTGCCTGAGTTTAACCTGACCCTGCACTAGTTATGTGCCTTTGGGCAGTTAAGGAACCTACTTGTACCTCAATTTCCTCATATATAAAATGGGAATAATATTAGTATCAACCTTTTGGATTGTTATAAGGATTAAATGAATTAGTAGATATAGAGCACTTAAAGCAGTGCCTGGCATATAAAAAACACTGTATGGGGCTTCCCTGGTGGCACAGTGGTTGAGAGTCCGCCTGCCGATGCAGGGGACACGGGTTCGTGCCCCGGTCTGGGAAGATCCCACATACCGCGGAGCGGCTGGGCCCGTGACCCATGGCCGCTGAGCCTGTGCGTCCGGAGCCTGTGCTCCGCAACGGGAAAGGCCACAGCAGTGAGAGGCCTGCGTACCGCAAAAAAAAACAAAACACTGTATGTGTTAGCTATTACTGTTGTTACTGTTGTTATTATCAGGAATCACTCACTGGCTTCTGTGTAGACTTGTCCAAAGCGGTAGTAACACATCTTGTACATGAGGCAATTGAGCAGCACTGGAGAACCCTCACGGTCCACACGGAATTCCCCAGTTGGAGTATAATAATCATGTTCCTTGATATGTTTGCCTGTATCTGTGCTCCCTCCAATCCGGACCATCCACAGAAATTTGTTGATGTCTAGAAAAAAAAGAAAAAGAAA